TCTCTCTGCCTCACTCTGTCTTCAGTCTGTCTGTCTCTACCTGTCTCTCTGGCTTCCTGTCTGTCTCTCTGCCTCACTCTGTCTTCACTCTGTCTGCCTGTCTCTCTGCCTGTCTGCCTGTCTCTCTACCTGCATGACTGTCACTCTGCCTCACTCTGTCTTCAGTCTGTCTGTCTCTCCCTGCCTGCCTGTCTCACTCTGTCTTCATTCTGTCCCTCTGTGTCTCTGCCTGTCTGTCTGGCAGAGTGCTCAGTTGCCCATCTGTCCAGTGACATTCCCCCTCCCTCTGCCTCTTATCCTCTCACAGAGCCCCCTGCTGTTCCAGGAGTGAAGGTGACCTTGTCCCCGAAGGTCCTTCTGTCCTGGAAGCACATCCCACTGACTGACAGGAGGGGCCTCATCCTGCAGTACAGGGTGGGGCATGATAATGTGACAGGTGCGCCCCCTGGGGGACAGACGGGGAAGCACAGGGTGCTGTAAATGAGGGCTCGGAGCTGGGGGAGACTGTGGGAAGCTGAAGGAGATCTGGGGTGTGTTTTTTCTGACACATGGTTCCAGTGGGGGTGGGGGTCAAGACACAGGACACACTGCACAGTCACAGAACCTCTTCAGAACACGGTCCGGTCTGTCCAGTTTGATCAGCGAAAAGACCCGCGGTGCTCTGACCCTCCTGTAACTCTGTCGCCCCCCCAGATTACACTGTGGGTCCGGAGAACTGCAGCCAGGAGCTGCAGGACCTGAAGCCGGGCCAGAGGTACCAGTTCTGGGTCCGGGCTGAAACTGGAGCTGGAGAGGGGCCAAAGAGCATTGTGGACTTCACCACCAAAGACAAAACAGGTACTGTACCACTGCCCGCTGCGCCCACTTCCTCTTCCTCCTCAGCCTGTCTTCCTCTTGTTCTGGACCTGACCTGGCCTCTCATCTCCCTTCCTCTTCCTCTTCCTGTCTCATCCCCCTTCCTCTTCCTCTCTCCCCTCATCCCCCTTCCTCTTCCTTTCTCTCCCCCCTCATTTCTCTTCTTTCCTCTCCCCCCTCATCTCCCTTCCTCTTCCTTCCTCTTCCTCTCTCTCCCCCCTCATCCCCCTTCCTCTTCCTCTTTCTCCCCCCTCATCTCCCTTCCTCTTCCTCTCTCT